AAAAAAAAGAAAAAAAATTTTTTTAAAAAAAGGAGTGACAGACAGGATGGGATTCTGGATCATGACCGCCCTCGGCTTTCAGGTGCGGTTCCTGGAGCAGCAGAACCAAGTGCTGGAGACCAAGTGGAATCTGCTTCAGCAGCTGGACCTGAACAACTGCAAGAAGAACGTGGAGCCCATTTACGAGGGCTACATCAGCAACCTGCAGAAGCAGCTGGATGCACAGTCAGGAGACAGGGTGAGGCTGGAGTCAGAGCTAAGGAACATGCAGGATTTGGTGGAAGACTACAAGAATAGGTGAGTGGAGAGGCAGACTATTCTTCCAAAGAGTCTCAATTTCAGATGAGGTTTCTGTGTACCAGAATTTATGTCTTCTTTGATCTTTTATGATACCATTGCTATGTTCTTTCCTGTAGTTGAAGGAGGGAGATCCGGATAGAATGGGACTTAGGAAGAGGATAGATGTATCCAAAAAGGTCTCTGAATTGCTTAAGAAATTACATTCTCCATTTCAAGGTCTGGCCGGAGAAATAGAGAATGATCTAAAAATTGGGTGGTCCATCCAGATGGCTTTGTAGCTTTTTGTGAGCAAGGTTTGCCCTGAGGTTCTCATACATGAAACACTCTACCAACCTCAAGACAAAGCCTAAAGCCAAGCGAAAACGAGTTTTTAAAAGTTATTTCATACTACAGCAAAGGACCCTGGGCCAGCAAGCAGGAGGCACCTTCCCCAGACGCGCTGGTGGGAAAGGGTCGGGGATGAAGCCCAAAGACAAGCCCCTCAGGCAAAAAAAAGTTATTTCACACTAAGACATCATCTGTGTTGTGGAATTCCACTGTTAAAGGAGAATTTCTGATAATTTGCTTGAAACCAGAGAGGTAGCTTCTCCTGTAACTTGAGTCAAGAATGAATGATAAAGCCAAATAAGAAAAAAGAAAGAATGATAATAAATCTAGAACTTGATATTTTGCATGATTGCTTTCATGAACATGAACAGGTGACTTTCCTCACAATTAAAAAAAGATGGAGGTGGTCAGAACTTCACTCTCTCTCACGTTCTATTTATGTTCATAACTACTATGAAGTTTCCCCAAATCACAACTCTGTCATGAGCCCTGCATGGAGACCCTGAGGGTGGAGGGGACATGGCCTTTCTCCTCATAGAGCATCCAGATTATGGGGACACTTTGTGATAGCCACTGATAAATGGAAATGGGTAATATGTGAGCTGATATTCAGTGGAATTAGAAAGAAATTGGAGCCTAAGTAGAGATTTGAAAGGGATCTGGAAAGAGGGGGAAGCTGCCGGGCACAGAACTAAAATGTACAGGCCAGCAGCAAGCAGGGCCATCTGGCCTCTGGGTCTGTTAGAGAAGAAAGGCCAGGTGCTCTAGAATTGCTACTCACTAGTGAGGTGACCTGGGCTCAGTCTCTTGATTCTTATGAACACCAAGTTCAATATTTATACAAATCAAATATTAAATATTATTAAATTATTTAATAATATTAAATATTAATAGCTGTTGGGAGGATCATATCAACTAATGTTAAATAGTAATGTAGCAATACTGTTCTTATAATAACTGAACAGCTAGCTAGGTGGATTCTGTTTTACTAGGGTCAGAAGTCTTGGATTTGAATTTATTATTAATCTTTTCAGTCTGTAGGACCTTATATTGCTTTTTTGTGTCTTCCTTATGATGTCCTAACCATAACTCAGCTTTTTTTGTGCATTTGTTTTCCTGTGAAAGTCTAAGATCTGAGAATTTCAAGTTGATTTTTTTTCTTCATGG